ACAATGCTCTGCAAACTGCAGTACTTAAATATAAATAAAACTAAGTGATTGATTTAATCAATTCAAGATTACACAGAGGGGTCAAACGGATTAACAGCAGACAGAAAAGCAATAACTATATGAATGCAAAGCTTACTTCTATTAGGCAGAAGACTAATAGCTGATATATATCTGAATTCTGGGGAATTTATACAATAGGTATTCCTTGACTTATGACTTGGCAACTGTTCAAAGCTATAATGTCCCCCCAAAGGTACTTATGACCTGGATTTCAAAGTTCCAAAGGCAGCACCCACCCTCCCAGCAGTCATGTGATTACATTTTGGGTGCTTGGTAACTGGCCCACATTTATGACCATTTGCAGCTTCCTATGGTCATGTGACCATGATTTATTATGTGTGTGTGTTTTGCTGGAAACTGGACAATGGGCTTGCTTTACAACTACAAAATATATCATAAAATTGGTTTGGTCAGATGCGTGCCTCAACTTATGACCGTCATGACATATGACGGAAATTCTGGTCTCCACTGCATTGTAAGTCAAGGTCTACCTATAGTTCTTTCCCCCTTCCCAAACCAACTGTTACTGTTGTTTAGAAGTGTTTGTGAATAATGGGACTGCAAAAAACAATTCAGATCTTCTAAAGAAATAATGGTGGCGGCACAATATTCACTACTGCCAAAACATACCTCTGTAGCTCTATGTTTCCATCCAGCTCATCTCCAATCCGGCGCAGGCACTCACTTAGTGATTTGGTATTGGAATTACAAGCTTGAGCCTCTGAATCTTCAAGCTCTGCCATTGTCACCTCAATGCGTTCTGAATCTCCACAGCACTGTACCCGATCCCTGATAAAGCTGAAACAGGGTCCAGGTAAAATAAAATAAAACATATGAGAATTTTCAGTCTGAGATCTCAACCAGCTCTGTCCTTGCAGGTCTTTGCAGAAGAATCAACAGCTCAATGTCATGGCTTTATTGTTAGTTCCTCCAAGAGGGGAACTATATGCTTCTAGAGCAGTGCTTCTCAACCTTAGCAAGTTGAAGATGCATGGACTTCAATTCCCAGAATTCCACACTCCACAATTCCACAGTCATCAAGGTTGAGAAACCCTGGTCTAGATATTTGCTGAAAATATAGAACTCACCTTTTGAGAAGAATGGTTCCTGTCTGAAGGATTTGATCTGAACTTGTGCCTGAAAGAGAGAAAAAAAGCATAAGAATATGATCTATGAGGAGAAGAAAGGTCTCCAGGATCAAAACAGTCAAGTTAACTACGGTAAGATCTAAGCTCCACCTGGCCCAGCATCCTGTTTCACACCATTGAACTATGGGTAGTCCTTGATTTACAACTATTCATTTAATGACCATTCAAAGTTACAGTAGCACTGAAAAAAGTGACTTGTGACCAGTTCTCACACTTATGACTGTTGCAGTCTCCCCATAGTCACATGATCAAACTTCAGGTGCTTGGCAACCGGCATGCATTTATGATGGTTGCAGTGTCCTGGGATTGTTATTTGCTACCTTCCTAGGCAGCTTCTGACATGCAAAGTCAATGGGGGAAGCCATAGTTGCTTAACGACTGCACAATTCCCCTAACTATAGTGATTTGCTTAACCACCAGGGCAAAAAGGTCATAAAATGAAACACAACTCACTTAATAACTGCCTTAATAATGGAAATTCTGGGCTCAACTGTGGTTGTAAGTGAAGGACTGCCTGCACTGGAATCCCACACCCAGGATGTAAAGAGTTTCCATTCTCTATGACTCATCAGATCCCTATTATGGTCTGTCATCACATTTCGCTCAGCAAATGGCAGAAATCAATTGACTGGCACAATAGCACTATGGGCCACATGCATTATAAGACGCAAAGTTTACATATTTTATTATGACATGCCTAATAAATGGCAACAGCTTGAATTATTTAACACGATAAGCCAAAACAAAGCTAGGAAGAGTAGCTAATATTAGGGAGGACAGGGGGAAAATTCAAAAAGACTTAGGGTAGAACAGCAAGCAGGAACAAGTAGATTAAAAAATAAGTACAGGTAGTCCTCGACTTACGAGCATATTTGAGCCCAAAATTTCCATTGCTAAGTGAGACAGTTGTTAAGTGAGTTTTGCCCCATTTTACAACCACAGTTATTAAGTGAATTGTTGCAGTTGTTAAGTTAGTAACACAGTTGTTAAATGAATCTAGCTTCCCCACTGACTTTGNTCCTGGAAGGGACAAACAACAAAGGGAGGGAGAACACAAAAGACATCTTGTGGTGAAATGAAGACACGTTACAGCAATACAGGTAATCCTCGTCTTATGACCTGTGACTTATGACGGACCCTCAAAAACGTACTGACCAACCTGGTTTTGAAGTTCTGACCGCCACAAGTCATGTGACTGCATTTCAGGCCCTCAGGCAACCGGCTCACTTTGATGGCCATTTGAAGTGTCCTACAGGTAATGTGACTTGCAAGGCTGAAAATTCTCATTTATTTCCACTTTTGGAAATAACCACGGCATTCACTTAATGACTGCGCAAATTTAAAAAAGGGTGAAAATTGGGTTGGCTTCTTTAGGGTCAGGCTCCATTACATTCATAAGTTGAGGATTTCCCATGCAAGCATCAAGATAACAGTGTCATGTTTACAGTTGTCCCATGAAAGTCCACATCCCTGCATTTCTATCTTTGCAGCAATTTTGTGAAGAAGACTGGGCTGAGACAGAGCACCCCCAAAACATCCAGCAATAGGGTCTTGATCTGTCCAACACACACACAAACACACACACACACACACACACACACACACACACACCGGTCAGAATCAACATTTTGGGATGGAGTAAACTCAAGAAATGTTGAGGAATTGTTAAGCTGGGAGAAAACACATAAAGAGGCAGTAAGGAGCTTTAAGAACACCACACTTCACATCTTCCCTCTTTTTTTTGTTAAATATAAAAAGGAATTTAATTACTTGACAGCCTCTGTTCCCTAGTGAACTACTAACATCAATGTGACCGGTTCTCACCACATGCTAAACCACCATGTGATTTGTCTGGCTTTGGCTTGGTCTGTAAGGCAAATGTAAACGTATGTGCTAGTCGTTTCTGACTCTAGGGGGTGGTGCTCATCTCCGTTTCAAAGCCGAAGAGCCAGTGCTGTCGGAAGACGTCTCCGTGGTCATATGGCCAGCATGACTAAATACTGAAGACGCATGGAACACTGTTACTTTCCCATCAAAGGTGGTCCCTATTTTTCTATTGCATTTTTACATGCTTTTGAACTGCTAGGTTGGCAGAAGCTGGGACAAGTAATGGGAGCTCTCTCCGTTATGTGGCGCTAGGGATTTGAACTGCCAAACTTTCAGTGTCTTAGCCACTGAGCCACCGTGTTCCTTGGCTCAGTCTGTAGGAATTCAATAACTTTTAAATCCATAGTATATGGCTTAGTGTACTGTACATGCTCAGAACTGTCGATTACTAAAACATACAGTTAAGTAAATCTGAGCTCAGTGGGCCAAGCAAAAATAATTGTCAATATATGCTTGCCCTCAGAATTAACAATACTGCACAAAACTTTAGTTTGTGGGCCCTGGAGTTTTGGTATTAAAAAAAAACTGAAATCTGCTTGCCTCTTTGATAAAGGTTTTCTAATCTTAAGGAAGTCAATGTAAAGTTCCTTTAAACTCTAAGTGACTTTAAATGACATTTACAGTGTAAATGAGAGCCAGCTTGGTATAGTGGTTAAAGTTCCACCTTAGGTATGAAAGTTGGCTGGGTGACTTTGGGCCAGCCACCAGGAAACTGAGTTCTAGTCCTATTTTAGGCATGAAAATTGGCTGGGTGACTTTGGGCCAGCCACCAGGAGACTGTGAGTTCTAGCTCTGTTTTAGGCATGAAAGCTGACTATATGAACTTGTGCAATCACTTTCTCTCAGCCAGGAGACTGTGAGTTCTAGCTCTGTTTTAGGCATGAAAGCTGACTATATGAACTTGTGCAATCACTTTCTCTCAGCCCAACCCATCTCAAAGGGTTGTTGTGGGGAAAACAGGAGGAGGAAGGAGTATTATGTATATTTGCTGCCTTGAGTTACTTATAAAGAAATAAAGCTGAGATAAAAAAAATCTAATAAGTAAACTCACCCATCCTCCCTGNTCTATTCTATTCTATTCCAACTTGGAAAAAATACTTGGGAGCCACTGTTGATGTAGAACAGCAGCCCACTTGTTGATAGAGGGCAGCCATTACAACCACATTCACACCAATGTTGAGTGCTGGGTGCTAATAGGTTTCTTACCAAAATCCAGAGTGCTGGAATCAATCCATACAGCTCATCATGGCTCAGCATCCATATAATCCTAGGACTGCTCTGGAAGAATTGACCAGTTTAATTCATTTCTCCCAAGTAAGGATGTTAACAGACTTCCCTTAATGAGATTATAGGGCAGAAGACAATGTTTTTCTGTTATGCTTCACCCCTGTGGAATAGTTCAGGGGTTTCCAAACTTGGCAACTTGGCAAGGCTAGAAGACTTTTAACTCCCAGGATTCCACAGCCAGCACGACTGGCTAAGGAATTCAATTTGAAATTGAAGTCCAAAAGTTTTAAAGCTGCAAAATCTTTTTTAAATAGTGGTGACCAAAACTGGATGCAGTATTCCAAGTGTGGCCTTACCAAGGCATTATAAAGTGGTATCTGTATATTTCAATTCCCAGAATCCCCCAGTCAGCAGTGCTTTATTGAATACACCAATATTGGATGTGTAGCCTCTCTTGGCAAAAACAAGGAAAGTATGAATGAGACTGACTGGGCATTTCTTCCAACTATTCTTTGCAACAATAGACCTAGAGACGTACATTATAACTTAAGTTTTTAGTCCTAAAAAAACCGAAGTGCATAATATGCTGAACAACATCGACATCACTGAAGACACAAAAATTACATTTTCTGAAATCTACTGAAGTGATGTCCTTGTTATCAGTTTTGTAGTTTCTTACACCATCATTTCTATACAAACAACTCTGGAACACGCACATTAGATTTTTTTTTTCATTTTTAATTTCCACACTAACAAAAAAAAAATCCATTGTAACGTCAATTGACAGATTAAAGATGAATCAAACATTTTTTTTAAAAAAAATTATAAAATGGTAAGGTAGTTTTCAAAAAAAAACTTTTTTGTTAAAAAAAGTGTAGAAACTATTGCCTAAGTAAGGGAAGGGTCAATTGCATAGAAAATACAGACATGAATAAACTTGGAACAGTAGAACAGCTAACCTGGGAGTATGTTAACAATGGCTTTACAATCAGATGTGACTGGATTCCAACCTTAAGAGGCACAGCTACTGCCCATATCAGCCACTGTGTCTCAGGCCTGCAGACCTCTTGTGGTACATGTCAAACTCCAGAAATATACATAATTCAAGAATTTAATTTCTGATTAAAAAAAACATGACATCTTGTTAGGATATATGATTAAGCAAGCAAAAATACCAGACTGAGGCTAGCTAAGAGAATAATGTTCTGTCTAAATTGCCCACACGGTTGACAGTTCCAAATATTGTTTCCTTCCTTCATTGCCTCCTGAACAAATAAATGAAGTGAATCTGATGGCAAGGATGAAAAACTTAAGTTGGCTGAGCAACCATCAACATTACCTCTGGCTAACCTTGGAGCTTTCGAACAGGAACTTTTGGCCAAGACTGATTCTTCTTCTCAACAGTCTACTGATGTAGCACAGTGCTGAGTTGAGGGGATATGGAGCAGGAGGGCGTCCTATGAACAGTTCCTCTGGAAAATGCCCATCCATGAAGACTGTTAGCTAAAAAAGGTGGACGCCCAGAGACAAGCCACCCAGGGTTATTTGTTGCAGCTACTTGCTTCACATTGGCTACTTGCCCATAGGCAAGATGTGTGTACCTTTACCACTGGGTGGCGAAAGAATAATGGAACATGCTGGTGCAATGAAAAGGGTCCCCCATACATTTGGGGAAGGGAAGCATGATGCAAAACAAGCATCTGAACAAAAACAAAGCATTATCCATATGAAGGTACAAATCCAGTGTGACACAGCACAGATTTAGGCATAACTGAATCTCAATTGACAATTAATAGCCAACTGGCCAAAAATCCCACAGCACTGTTGCCTGCTAATCCCAAACTAATGCCATAAACCACAGCCATGCTGTCTATAAGCCACACCTCCTCAAAGAGCCAGAGATCTTGAAAGAAAAAAACCCCTCACAGCTTGAAATATCAAAGCACTACAAAAAGTAAGCCAAAGATCTAGATAAACCCAATCCAACCCACCCCTAGTCCAGTTAATTCACACTCCTGGACTCTTTTACTTCACAATTCCAAAATTATTTATATTATGAAAATCCACAGCACCCCAAAATACTTTAAAGAATTACAACAGAAGCCTCAGCCTTCACAAAACCCATG